CAGGGCCAGTGAGGGAAGGGTCGAAAGTGATAAGAAGGAGCCCACTGTTGAGATGGTTTTGTCTTCACTATTTAGGCTGAACTTAAATCCGCCCAATGAGTACCCTCAAAGTGCGACACAGGCAACACAGAGTAGTAAAGCAAAAAGAAAATGAAAGGAAGGAAGATATGTCTGTCTAACACTGGGAAGGGAGTGGCTGGAGAATTGCTCCAAATTGCAGGCAAGGAGCCTGCTGGCGCAGGATGGGAAGTGGCTTCTTGGTGGGTACAAAACCTACCTGATGTGAAGCATCTAGAATTTTAGCAAAGAGTGACATTAGAATCAAGAAGGGCAGCTTCTGGGACTGGGAAGACAGAGCAGCCAGGGGGTCAGACAGGGTGGCTCTGGCACTGTGCTCTTTACTCAGCTGGGTCACAAGCCACTGGACTCAGGGATAGATATAAAACCTCAAGCCTCAGCTCCCTCATTTGTGAAATCGGGTTTTATGCTTACACCCCGTGAGAACTTTGCCCGTACATAGAACAAGATGGTTTTCAGTAATGATTTGGTGGCTGAGTGACTTCGAGAGACAAGACTACTGTGGGGACTAGCAGAAGGTCAGCCTTCAGTAGAAAACCATCAGTAGTTACATTTTAGGTGGTGAGCTAGGTGTGTGCTGTGTGATTGGTGCCACGCTCCAGCAGTCAGTATCATTTCTTGGATGGCCATGGTGGCAGCTCTCCTACCCTAATACTGCTGAACCGGCTAAAAGACCACAGAGCTTCACCCTGAGAAGACCTGGGGCTCCAATGCTTCAATGGCATCTCTATGGTACACAGAAACCCAAGGAGGAGCCCAGCAATCCTGACTCTGTGAGCCAAGCAAAAGGGGAGATTTGCTGTCTTTGGACAGGAGGTAAGGTAAGATGTGTGCCTGCAGACCAGTTCCAATCCACAGTAATGTCCCCCCCCAGCCCCCCATTGTTATTACAGACCTAATCATGTCTCTTCCAGAAGACAGGAACTTCCCTGAAGATAAAAGCCTTGTGGGATGGGTTGGCTAGGCCTGATGAAGACGACAAACCACGTGCTACAGATACACTTAATACAAAGCCACACGTACGCAAAGAAAACTTTGCAGGACTTCCAGTCTCAGGGAGTGGCCTACACACCAGTGATGTTTCATTTTTTAAAAAATCTGCTATCTCTAAATCAGTGGAGACATGGATATTTTGGTTTGAAAGTGTTTCAGGCCAGAGGCCATTTTTTATTCTGGGTCCTGATGTGGAATCAGAGAATATTACCACCAGGTGGCAGTGATCTCATAGAGTCTTCCTCGGGGTTCAGAAGGTTTCCCACCAGGGTCTTGTCTTCCTCCTGTGGTCTGGTTTGTCCTCCTGTGGGATGGGGAGCTGGGGAGATGTCTTGTTCTGAGGCCCAGGATTTTGAACACCTCGTCCTCAGGTTCTGTTTCCTCCACAGAGGAGGCTGCACAGGGAAGTGGTGTTTCAGGGCCCTTCCTGGGAAAGCAGACCCGTGAGTTGGATCTGTGACAAGCCTTTCTGTTCTCGCCCTGAAAACACACACTTGAAACACAATGACCAGCGAGAGCAGCAGAAATCTGGGGCAGGGACAATGCAAGATCCCTTTGGCTCTCCAAAGACGGAAAAGACAGAAAGTGAAAATGTAGGGGGGAAAAATGGACTTGGAGCACTTCACGCTTCAGAGAAAATACAGGGCTGACAGTGAAGACAGACAGATGTTTAGAAAGCACTGACCATGGAGTGCAAGTCACAGGCACACAGTGAGCGAGCTGCTACATCCCTTCAAGTTCCTCACAAGAAACTGAATTTCCTGGATCCACAATAAAAGCCTCGGTTTCTAGTTCAAAGCCACCCTCTTCTTGGGCTGTGGGGTTCTGACTTGTCCTACTCAGAACCAGATATAGGCCAACATGATCCAGGGTCCTACTATATGCCAGGCCTGGTGCTGGGCAACAGATGAGAAAGGCAAGGGCTCGGGCACATGTATGTACTGTGCCTGCAGCAACCCTGCATGGCAGACAAGCATTCTTACCCTAATAGACAGGTGAGAACCCTGAGCCAAGAGGAAAAGGCACAGGATGAAGGTCTCTGATCTCACCATATCCTGACCTGATGGTCCTCTCTCCCAAGGTGAGGACTCCAGGGACCAGGATCTAGCACACTGCACACTGCATAGACCTGCAGCTGCTATGAGAGAACTCTCAGTAAACATTCAGCAGCTCGTGGGGCTGCCGTGATTCCGAAGCAGGAGACACTCCTCTGCTGATCATTTCACCCAATAGCCCAGCCCCCACACCTTGATGTTCTGGATGGACAGCCTGGGGCCAAGGCTCAGAGACTGGAAGCTTGACCTGACAATGACCTGGAGCTCTAGGCTTTCCTTGCCCTCAGAAGGTCTCTTCCTTGGCTCTCAGAAAAGATAGATAGCCATGGAAAGATCTTTTATTGGCTCATGACTACAGGAGGTTACAACTCAGCCTTTCAGGTCATTGGTGGAGCAATTAAAGCTTAGAAGGGAAGACAGTGGGAACCTGAGCTGGTTAGAGAAGAGCTGAGCAGATTCCTAGGTCTCTGGTTCATCTGTGTTTTCAGACTGTGTGTGTTCTGATTTATCCATGTTCTCAGAGTGTGTGTCCATGCGTACTCATCTGTGAACATATGTGTGAACATGTCCATCTGTATACAAGCGTGTGCATCTGTATACAAGTTCTGTGTGTGCATCAGTGTGCATATGCATGTGTTTCTCTCTGCGTGTGCAATTGTGTAGAGGTACATGTGTTTCCTTTGTCTGCATGTGTGTACACTTGTGCATCTGTACGGGCATATGTGTATTCGTATGCATGTTTATCTGTGTACATATGAGTTTTTCTCTGTGTCTGTATGTCTCTGTGTGTTTATATTTGTGTTCTGCATCTCTGTGTATGTATGTGTGTGTATGTATATGTATGTATGTTGGTATATGTATATCTGTGTGTATCTGTGTGTGAATGTAAGGCTTTGAAGAAGTGGCAACTGAATTTCCCCAACCTTTTCTAGCTATCAGAATCATCTCTGAGGCTCCTTACCTACCTGGTTGTCCTGTAGCCATCTCAGACTCACTGAAAGTAAACCCCCAGGAGCCTGCATCTTTATCAAGCTCCAGGCCCCCTGATGATTGTCAAGGTCTAGATACGTCATGTTGAGGATGCTTATGGTCATGGCTCATGGACGTTAAGGCCCAAGGTGGAAGAAGGGGGTGGTCAGAGGACACAGGCAGGAACCTATCTTCTATTGATACCAAAAGTGTAGCCCGAACAAGAGAAGATGAACCCATGATGGGATATGTGTAGCTCAAAACTGCTGCTTCAGTAGAGACCCTGCTCTCAGAGTTATAGTTGGCCAGGCCAGCAGTCAGGAGCCAATTCCCTTCTTCCTGGGGACCTTGCCTGTGATTTGGGATGTGCTACAGGAGGCCAGTAGCACCCCGAGGCAGGGCAAACTGGTAAAGATGAGCATGTGTCCCTCTCCCCTGGCCTCATCACTCACTGTCACAGAACTCTGAGTCACACTAAACAACCAGTACTTTGCAAATCCTTCCATCCACACTGCCCAGACAGAGGGAGCCAAAAGTCAAGGGCTTGAAATCTCTTGGAAGCTTCAAACTCTGAAAGTTAGACACCAATTCTGTGCGATTCATGTGATTGTTTCTATATGAAGTTGGCACTTCCTGGTGGACACAGCCAACGCTGAGCAAGTAGCTTTATATGCTACTTTATATATACTGTGGACCTGGGCCCAGTAGAGAGGGGTCTGGGCTAGAGCCTAGGAAACTCCCTGAAGGCTTCTGGCATGGAGTAGACTGAGGGCTTGGCTGATGAGGGGTCTCTGTGTAACACACTCCCGGATACTTCACCATGAGCCCACCCAGAGGGGCTCAGGCATAAACACGTGTTACTGACGACTGGGATAATCTAGGCCTGACTAAAGACTAGAGACAAATGAATCAGTTTCTCCAAGTCTTTGTATGGGGTGGGGGTGGGTTTGGTGTGAATTTTTCAACAAAGGAAGTTAATCACAGTAAGGACCTACTTTCTCACCAAGATCCTCTGTGGCAGGTCTGTAACATCAGGCAGGGGAAAAAAAAAGAGTTTGTTAAATCAAGTTCTAACTGGAGTTTAGTATGTCCTTCATTTGTGACCATGAGTGCTGTCAACAAACCACAGACTCCTCAGGAAAGAACGCCTAGATAAAATGGTGGTATAGCTAGCTAAAATATCTATGGTGATGGCTAGAGAGATATCTGGCTTAGTGGTTAAGAGTACATATTGCTCTTCCAGGGACCAGAATTCAATTCCCACAGCCACCTGTGAGTCTAGCTTCCAGAAGATCTGACACCTCTGTCCTCCTCCAGCCTACACATATGTGGCATATATACACACAGCATGATTAAAAATAAATTAATTAAAAATTCAAAACAAACAAAGAAAGAAAAGAAAACATGGTGAATGCTGTTTTGAAATCATGGTACTGGATGGGTAGCTCTGATCTCACAAACCAAAGTCTGAAACTTCCAGCTTGTCAAGATATCATGGCAAGAGATTTTATTTATTTATGCAAAACAACTAAAAGCACACATGCAAGGCATACATGAAACAAATAAACTTTATGCTTACAACTGGGTACCATTTCCAAGATGCTTATCAAATATATGTGAATATTCCAATACTCAGAAAAGTCTCACATCCAGAATGCCCGATCCTAAGCACGGCAGGTAAGGGCGACTTGACTTGCAGTTCTCAGTCCTGTGCGGGATGCTGCACTGAAGGCGCTAACTAAGAACTGTCCATGGCACTAGGCCACACAGTCACCTTTACATGTTTACCACATCTGCTTTCCTATGTGTTTAATTGATGTGTTAACAATTATTATCCACCTACTTACCTGGCCATTGAGCCTCAGTGACTGGTGGTGACCCTGTGTTTTAAGCTACAACCCTTACCTGTGGATCAGAGAGCCGGGAGAGGTCCGGGTACAGATAGAACTTGATGCCTTCAGAGGCACCTGGCAATGTGACACCTCGGATCAGGAGGATCAGCAGCATGATGTAGGGGAAGGTGGCCGTGACATACACCACCTGCACAGGAGGAGAGAGAGAAGAGTTAGGCAAGCGTGGGAATGATGGGCTTCTTTCTCGCAGCACTGATCCCTCCCAAGCTGCTGCATGCTGCAGACTGTCCTTTAGGAATGCTGCCCTGAATTTGATTAGATGCATGGACCATGTTCTCTGTATCCATCTACACAGCCCAGGCTCAGCAAGGCGGTTGATTCTGAGCATCTACAGGGTCTTGTTTTCATAGCTGCCAGTAGCTATGGATGCTCACGTCTCTCACATCAAATGACACCATGTTTGCAGAGAGCCCCACAATCCTCTGTGTATAGCAAGTTATCTCTTATGACTGACAATACCTGCTACAATGCAAGCACCAGGCAATCGGTACTCTACGTTATCTGGGGAAGAGTGACAAGGAAAGCGTCTACACATTTAGTTCCAATGCAAACCTCCATTCAGTATTTTCTGAGTTTCTTTGAATTCACGGTTGTGGCTCCCATATGGCTTTACTGACAGGAAGCACCTAAACTAGACTTATAGAAGCAAAGCGTGGGATGATGGTGCCTCCCTTGTCATCTTTGTCATAGTGAATGTGACATTCCTGTCCATCAAGACGAACATGAGAAGGAGATGCATCATCCAAGGTTGTACATGGTCAACAACAACGTGTCCTGAATTTAAACATTACTGGGAGGGGAGATTTCATGTTAAGATTCTTACTACAATAAAGAGAATTAGAAAAAGGAGTAAAAGTGGTGGCCTCTCCAGGAGCCAAGGGGAGAGGGGCCCCCAGCCCACATATACCCATTTGTCTTCCTCTACCTACTCCTTAGGAGAGTATATAATGAGGGCATATGAGGAGCTGGACAGCAGTGGGTGCCAAACTCACGAAAGAAACAGAAATCACAACCCCATTCACAGAGCTCTGGAAAGGAAATTTCCCAAATCACTTCCACGTGGGACACTTGCTAATGTTGTCTATCAGACTCTTGACATTTTAAGACTGATACACTTATTGTGTGTGGCTGTGTGCATGGCATGGCACACGTGTGGAGGCCAGAGGAAAATTCCCAAGAATCAGTGCTCTCCATACCATGTGGATCCCAGGGATCAAACCCAGTTTGTCGGGCTGACAACAAGCACCCTATTCTGAGCCATCTTGCTGGGCCTCTATTTCATCTTTTTAAATCTGGCCAGGACTCTTAAATCTATTTCACAACTTAATGGGCCAAGACCTGCAGTTTTGAAAGTAACTGCTCTCAATAAAAAATAAAATTTGCCAGGCAGTGGTGGCACACATCTTTAATCCCAGCACTCAGGAAGCAGGGGCAGGTGGATCTCTGTGAGTTTGAGGCCAGCCTGGTCTACAGAGTGAGTTCCAGTATAGCCAGGACTGCTTCACAGAGAAACTCCGTCTCGGAAAATCAAATTCAAAATCAATCAATCAATCAAACAAACAAACAGTATTTTAATAACCAAAGATAGGCTGGGATGTGGGGGAGATGGTCGTGTGGGCAGAGATGGGGGTGGGGGTAGGAAGCTGAGGGTGTGTAAAGGATGCAGCACTGTTTGGAACTCCTGGGCCTGGTCTGCTTGGAGGCAGATGCTTGGACCCAAAGAGGTTAAGAGAGACTGAACCATAGATTCCTGTGGGAACAGAGGCAGTGCACTTAAGAGCAGACACACAGCCCTCCTGGAGCCCCCGTTCTGAACTCTGCTCATGTAGAGATGACCAACCCATCATACATTCCAGACTCCAGAACCCAACATAGGTGCCAGCCACTCCTCCCACTGAAGGACCCTGCAGAACTCAGTGTCTGCCAGGTTAGACTCTTTTTTTTTTTTGGTCAGTTTCTCTTCTCCAATCACTTGCACTGTCTCTTGTTGAGACCTCCCCAGTGCTGTTTAGAAGGGAGCTTATCAGCATTCAAGGGCCAGGGACATTCTTAAATTCAAGTTTAGCTCTGCATAGCCCTCAGTGCACACAGATGCAGCACAGGCTTGCTGGTATCACAGGGAGAGCGTGTGCTCTGAGCAGGCTGCCTCTGCTACCACCTCCTGCTCTGTGCAGGCTGGGTCTGATTTGGCCAGGGCTCCAGTCCTTCACATTATTCCTTTGTTCACCTTCTCACTTATTCTTTATCCACTCTCTCAACACTAAAGCCATTCCTGTGTGGTCGGTACCGAGTTATGCCCAGGTGAGGAAGAGTCACGCAGCGGGTCTCTCTGCCCTAAGAGGCTTCCAGCTAGTGGAAAGGACAGACACAGAGACAGATAATGTATTCAGTGGTAGACATAAAGAGACAGCAGTCCATGAAAGGTGAAGTCAGTGTGGGCTTCTCCCAGACTAAAGGAATAGGAACTTAGGACATGGAAACCAGGGATGGAGGGAAGGGGGAAAAGCAATTTCTACTGCATGTTAGGCATGCACAGCATACACATATACAGACACAAAAGCAGGCACATGCACAAACAGGCACATATGCAAATATACATACATGCACATATGGTGCGGGATAATTGTTTGTATTCTGTCAATCATGTCTTAAATAAACGCTGATTGGCCAGGTAGGAAGTATAGGCAGGTCAACCAGGCAGGAAATAGAGGCGGGGCAATGAGAATAGGAGAATGCTGGGAAGGAAGAAATCCATTCCTCCCACTCCTGCCCAGACTCCAAAGAAGCAAGATGTGAGCTGCCCCGCTGAGAAAGTACCGAGCCATGTGGCTAACATATATAAGAATAATGGGTTAATATAAGCTACAAGAGCTAATGAGTAGCCTGAGCTAACTTATGGAGATCTCTGTGTGATTTTCTTTGGGGCTTGCGGGCTGTGGGGAACTGGGCAGGACATAAACCCCAACAAGCAGGCCCTTTCACAACACACATACCTGCACAGATACACATGCACACATACACTCCTGACTGTACATACACTGTACACACATACATGCACATGATAGCAGTACTAGCTTTGCTCACCACACATAGCTGCACACTGGGCAAGTGCAGATGGTACTCCAAGCATGGAGAGTTATCATCTTTTATATATGAGAAAGGACAGAGAGCTCAGTACCCTGCCCAAATCACCCAGCTAATAAATCAAGGCTGGGTGTGCATTCATAGCCACATCAGCTTGTTCCCAAGGTCACTTATCTGAACACCCCACCATACATGAGATGATCATGACATTTCTAAAAATTCCACATTAATTTCCCCATCTCAGAGAAGCCCAGTCATATGGTTAGCACAAAGCACAGGTTTAAACACAGCCCTCAAACAACAGGACATGAGGATCAGCAGGGGGCGGAAACAATGCATCTTATGGACACATCTGGAAGGTTGGTGGATGTTATCTCTGGTTTTCAACCATAGTGCCGCCTGGAGCCCAGCCCTCAGCCCACCAATGCCTGCATCACGGCTGCCAACAAACCATGTGCTCCCAGGCTTGTCATAGGACCAGTGCATTCTCTTACTGTCATACACAGCACCACATACTGTAATCCAGAGAAAGAGTATGTGAGTCAGACACACAATTGGAGTGGACAGTGGATATTAACAGTAATAAAAAGGTCAGCCATCAACCAACAAGGGTGGCTGGTTGCTGGCCAGTGAGTTGATTGCTGTAAAAAAAAACAAAAAAACAAAAAAACAAAGAAACAAACAAAAAAACCTCCTTTTCCACATAGCTTTCTAGACCTTGTCAATGACAGACACTCAGCATTGCCTATTCTCTAAAACATTATTTGTTAGGCCTGGAGCGATGGCTCAGTGCTTAAGAGTACTTGCCCTTGCTGCTCTTCCAGGTGGCTCAAGTCTGGATCCCAGAACCTACATCAGGTGGTTCACAACTGTACATGTCTCCAGCTCCTAGGGATCTGACCCGTCTGTCCTCTGAGGGCACCTGCACTCATGTTCATGGATCCGTATGCTTGTGTATGTGTGTGTGTGCGCATGCACACACATATCTATACATACTTTAAAACATAAGAAAAACTAAATATTTTAAAATACTGATTTATTCATTTATTTTATGTGGATGTGGGTATGGGTATATGTTGAGGGTGGGGTATAAGTCATAGGACAATCTACAGGAGCTGGTTCTCTCCTATCATCACATGGGTCCCAGGGATTGGAATCAGGTTGTCAGGCTTGGCAGCAAGCACCCTTACTATTGGAGCTGTCTCACTGGCTCCTGTGTGTGTGTGTGTGTGTGTGTGTGTGTGTGTGTGTGTGTGTATGATTCTTTTGGGTTATACTCAGTGAGCTTAAATCTACAAGTCAGGCAGAGAGTGACAACCTAGCTGCTCTGATTTAGTAACACCCATGTGTGGATCAGATGCAGTAGCCAGGAGCTGCCATGTCCCAGGCTCCCCATATTTTCTTCCTTCAGCTCAGCCACCATGAGTCCTTGTTCATACAGTTGAAGGATGAGAATGTAAACCATAAGGACGATTCACATTCATAGGAATTTACCCCTAGTCTGTGAGGTCACTTTGGCGAGGCTGAATTTGTCAGTTTTCCTCTGATGTCTCTACAGAGTGGATAGAGTTACTGGAGTACTGACTCCCTAAGACCTGACCAAATGTACTACCCTCACTGTGCCCAGTCAGTATAGACAGTAGCTTGAGCCTCACAATGGTGGTGGTGTGACCATTAAATGGCCGATGGTTCTGAAGCAATGCCACAATTTGCAGCTCCCAGTAGGTGTTCTGTTTCTGTATTACATTAGAGCAGCCATGTGTCCCTAACTGATGTCCATAACCTTCATTTTTACACTTTTTTTGTTTTTGTATTTTTTTAAGTCCTTTATATCCATTTTTTTATTCCACCAATTGTCTGAACAAGCTCCTGTTAATGACACTTTTTCTCTTCAGGATATATTATCTCTTGTTAAGGTACAGAATCACCCCTAAATTCTTCATTTTTACATCACTGTGTAATACTCAGTAATGCTTCCATAGCTGATTTTACTCCAAATGCTACATATAGCAAGGCTGTGAGACTGAGAAATATTTGGTATTC